ATTTTTCTTAGAAAGCAAGATCGTCTGATATTGTGGTCACCTTATATTTGAGCATACAGGATAAACATTTCTTTATTAAAGATTTACTATATCCTCAAAATAAAAATTTAAATGGTTAGGAAAGTAGATGGTAAAAAATAAAGGTGTGTGTGTCCTGACCGACCCCAGTCCTACCCTCCAGAACTAACTACTATGAATAGTTTCTTGGATATCTTTCCAGAAATGCTCTGCCTTTAGGCCTACATGATCTAGCTCTTGTAATACTCTTCCCTTGCTCTCTATGCTCCAGCCACTCGGCCTGCTTTTTGTTTTTCCAAGACATCTGGATCATCCCCGAAGCCCCAGGACCTTTGCGCTTTCCATTTATCTTCTTGGAATGTCTTCTCTCATAGCTCTGCATGCCCAGCTGTATCTCATCTTCCAGAGACCAGCTCAAAATCCCTTCCTCAGTGGAGCTTTTCCTGTCCTCATGTACCCTGCTACCACATAATACGGTTTCTCTTGGTCAGTTTGGGTGGTCATAATAAAAATACTATAGACTGAGTGACTTAATATTTTCTTACTCTTCTGGAGGCTGCAAAGTCCAAGATTAAGGTGCTGACCAACTCAGTTCCCCCAGCGAAGTCTCTTTTCCTGGCTTGTAGAACTTTTCATTGTGTCCTGGCCACCTGGCTGGGGGTGGGAGGGTGGAGGAGAAAAAGAAAAGCAAGCACTCTGGGGACTCTTCTTATAATCCCATCGTGAAGGTTCCACCTCACGACTCATTTAAACCTATCACTTTCCAGGCGCACCTGGGTTGCTAGGTTGGTTGAGCATCCAACTTCAGCTCAGGTCATAATCTTACATGATCTCATGGGTTCGAGCCCCACATCAGGCTCTGTGCTGACAGCTGGGAGCCTGGACCCTGCTTTGGATTCTGTGTCTCCCTCTCTCTCTGCCCCTTTCCCCCACTCGCACTCTGTCTCTCCCTCTCAAAAAGTAAAAAAATAAACATCAAAATAATTTAAACCTATAACTTTCCAAAGCCCCCTCCTCCACATACCATCTGCTGGGGATTAAGATGTCAACATAGGAATTTTGGAGCGGCACAGTTCAGTTCATAGCACCATGCTGGTTTTCAGAGCACACAGAATGCTACTAGCTGAACTTAGCATCTCGTGTTTTGCTGTTCATGGCGCAAGCCCATCTAACGAACACAAAGCTCCCCCTGAAGACCCTGTCAGTCTTTCTCAATGCTTCCCTCTTTTGAGCCTCCATGAGATGTCCCACAATAGTGCCAGCTTTGAGAAGAAACTAGTGACAGATTTTACTGACGTGTTTGCCAACAAGATTATTTCAGAATCTCTTGACTACTCATAGACTTTGTCTTGCTTTCTCCACAAAAGAATAAAAGGAATTCTGATAAGCACAAGTAGGTGTCGAGAGCTCCTGATTTTGGAGGCACTAAAGCACAGCACTGCTCCTCAGAGCTGTGTTAAACTCCACAGAGGGAAGGCCTTTGCGTGGCTGACATCCTAAGACACTGCTCACCTGCCCAACCACGTGAAAAATGAGTGTTGAGGACTTTTTCCTTGATTGGAAATGCACATGATAATGAAGAGACAGAGGCTCAGGGAGGGTAAGTGACCTATTCAAGGTCTCACCGCCTGTCACAGAAGGAGCTGGGCTTAGCATCCAGGTCTGGTCCCCCATGGAGAGCTTCTTCAGGACAGACTCACTGTCTCTTCTCCCTTTACTCAAACAGCCAGCCAACCTCCATTCAGATGCAGTTCCAAGCAATTGGCATCAGAGGCCACCCCTTGACTCCAAAAGGAAGTGGGACAGAAAAAATTCCAGATGGTTCCCCAGGGTATACATCCACCTGCCACTGAGTTGCTGGTTGGAGGCAAGCCTGTGTTTGGGGCTTGTGACCAGGTCCCAAGGGACCTTGTTCCCTTGGGTAGCTGTGGACACGAGGTTATGTCAAGAAAAGCTGATCATAGGGGCGCCTGGGTGGCGCAGTCGGTTAAGCGGCCGACTTCAGCCAGGTCACGATCTCGCGGTCCGTGAGTTCGAGCCCCGCGTCGGGCTCTGGGCTGATGGCTCAGAGCCTGGAGCCTGTTTCCGATTCTGTGTCTCCCTCTCTCTCTGCCCCTCCCCCATTCATGCTCTGTCTCTCTCTGTCCCAAAAATAAATAAATGTTGAAAAAAAAATTAAAAAAAAAAAAGAAAAGCTGATCATAATGAAGGGGAAAGGAGTGACTTGAACTAGGCTGGTCAAGCCAGCTGATGGGTGGGGCCCACTGGGAATTCAGGATCTTGCACCTGAGATGCCAAATGAAGCATGAGGCCCTCTCTCAGGGTCTGCCTCAGTGAATTTTCACCATGTCCGCTGAAAACACAGACACGCACAACTAATGTATTCATTAGAAAATGAGCCTTTGTAAATTCGCAAGTAAACAAGTGGCAGGCAGCTTGCATTCCGTTATCAGTTTGTTTTTAGGAGAATAAAACCCGCAAAACGAGCAACAGACATCTTTCTCCTGAGCGTTCTTCTCAGCTCAAGTGCACAGTGAGAAAGGAATGGAGGGTGAACGTAATCCAAAGCTTCCGGAATGCCTCTCAGCCCTGGGACGGCAGCCTAAGTGCCTTAAGATAAACAAGGACTAGGTTTTGAAAAGCCTCCAGTGGCCCTTTGCCCTTAGGTACAGTCACATGAAATTCCCGAGACCTCTGGCAGGTTCTATTGTGCCCACACCAGAAAAACCAGAGCAGTTCCAAGTCTGGAGTGAACTGAGCACTGAGGTGACCCTTGTCCTCTGCACATCTGAGGAGGCTGACCCCAGAGCTGCTGGAGCCTCTGATGCAAGTCTGATATAACACTCTGCTGACTGCTGATTGTACCCCACACCCATCTCCTTTCTGCCGAGGATTTCCACTCTCACCCCGTTGTGAACAATGGGGTGAAAATGTCAACAGAGGTGGTGGGGAGTGTGCTAGTCCCTTTATGGTCTGACATAATTACCCCCCCCCCCCCCCCCCGCCTCCCAGGGGCGTGCTACATACAACATTTATTTATTCCTCACATTTCTAGAGGCTGTGAAGTCCAAGTTCACAGAGCTGCCAGATTCAGCGTCTGGTGAGAATGCACTTCCTGTGTCTGTCTTCTGTCTGGGTCCTCACATGGCCGAAGGGGTGAGAGAACTGTGGGGTCTTTTTATAAGGGCGCTAATCCCATTAGGGCTCCACCCTCATGATCTCTCCAAGGCCCCACCTCCAAATACTATCACATCAGGGATTAGGTTTCAACATAGGAAACGTGTTGAAACACGCATTCAATCTATTGCACAAAGGGGCACAGAAGGAAGCATAAGGGAAGTGAGTGGGTTTTGGGGAGGGGAGCGAATGAAAAGGGCTTTGGCACATGGTGTGGGTTGCTTGTTGAGTTAGGTTGCATAATTCACCCCAATACTTTGCTTTTCCTTGTACCCACACTCTGTGCCTGGTGCCCTTGCGGCTCCTCCCACTAATATATTTCATCATCTCTGACTTTGGGTTTGGCCCATTGACTAGCTTCGGATAATAGAATGGGGCAGAAGTGAAGTGACAATGTCCCCGTTCCCAGCCTCAACCTTAGGAGGCTCTGCGTGACTCCGCTTGCGTTTCCGCCTCAGCATTGCCATGAGAAGAATGTTCCTCAGTGGCCTGTTGGTCCTAGGAGGAGAGGCATGTGGGGCACAGCCTGGATCAATCCAGGTGTGGCAGAGATCCAGTTATGTGAGCACATTCAGCGGAGGTCATCAGAACTATCGGGTGGGTCAGCTAACCTCCAAACACACGAGAAACAGCAAAATATTGCTGTTTTAAGCCCCTGAGTTTTAGAGGAGGGCTCGGCAACCAAAAAGAACGAAATCTTGCCATTTGCAACGATGTGGATGGAACTAGAGTGTATTACGCTAAGGGAAATAAGTCAGTCAGAGAAAGACAAATATCACATGACTTCACTCATATGTGGAATTTAAGATACAAAACAGATGAACACAAAGGAAGGGAGGCAAAAATAATAGAAAAACAGGGAGGGAGACAAATCAAGAGACTCTTAGATACAGAGAACAAACTGAGGGTTGCTGGAGGGGTGTTGGGTGGGGGGAATGGGCTAAAGGGGTGAGGGGTATTAAGGAGGACACTTGTTGGGATGAGCCCTAGGTGTTATGTATAAGTGATGAATCACTAAATTCTATTCCTGAAATCTTTATTATGCTATATGTTAACTAACTTGGATGTAATTTAAAAAGATAATTAAAAAAAAGTGAACTAATATACCTACCTAACAACTACAATCCCTTTCTTCTTTGGTGTTGTAGAGTCCCGATTTTGTTAAAGATTATAATGTGCCATTATTGGTTTAAGGCAATCATGTCACTTCTGTTACTGTTTGCTAGATAACTTTCCTTCCCAGGCTTCCTTGCAGCTGGTGGTGACCAAGGTGACCTAGTTCTGGCCAAGGAGACATAAAGGGAAATCTTACTTTGGGGAAAGATTTTCCTCCTGATAAAAACAAAGCTCTTTTCTGTCTATCCCTTTCTTTCCTATTTGGGTGCTGGTATGGCTGTGTGATATCTGGAACTGTGGAAGCCATCTTGTCACCATGAAGTCACATGTTCAAGGATGAGAGGTCCACACACTGCAGATGCCCAAACAGGGTGAGAAAAGCCTGGGCTTTTGACTGCATTGTTAAGCTTCAGAACAAACCCTGGGGCCATCTACCTCCAGCCTCTCACCAAGAAAACAGTGATCGTCATTATGGTTCAAACCACTGTCGGCCAGGTCTTCTGCAATGGCAGCCCAGTGCATTGTTGGGTGGTAAGGGTACGGTGAAGGTGGAGGAGAGGGGTGTGGGTGACAAATTACGGAGGTGTGTGTCATAGTGCTGTGAGAAGCACACTGAGAATTGAAGAACTTTTCCTAATTAGCTGTGTAACCTTGAGTAACTCACTCACCCCTCAGGGCTGCAATTTCCTCTCTGGAGAGAAGGCATTTAACTAGATGATCTCTAAGGTTTTCACCGCTCGAACACTGACTCTGAACATACAGTGAAGTCTCTGAGTACCACAGCTGGGCAAATATTCACAGAGGATTTTGGAGAATTATTAATTATGCTCAAAGAAAAGGCCAGGGATAGTTGTTCTTTAGCAAATGCTTAGCTCTGGGCTTGTAAATAATGAGTTTCTTCTTCGTTTCTGAGCTCGTGTCCAATGTAGGTCTTACCTGCTCTAGGGGACTTTCATCAAATGCTCATTAGATGCCTTGTTTATAAAAAATGATTTGCATGCAAGGAGCAAATGCTTCCTTTTCAGGAGCAGGTGTTGTGGGATGAGGAGAAACATGCTGGCTAATGCCTTGTCATCCAAATTCACAGAAATTTCTGGTATCCTGGGCAGGTTTGACACCATTCTGGGAAGAGAACTAAGAGACACATCTTCTGAATAAATTAGTCTATTTATTCAGTTTCTAGTTCTGTAGGGTAGAGCTTTGGCAGGATCCCAGAGAAGCATCAGCTGGGGAAAAAAATCACTTTATTTTCTGCTTTAGCCAACAGCATTTTCCTGCCCGGACTCTGCAAAAACGGACTTGCTTAGCTTTGCAGGCTCCTCCAGCTGCCACTGTTTCTCTGTGGCCTTCTGCTAACACATGCCCCCGGCTCAGTCAGATTTCTTCAGCTCTCGTATTCCCCCCCCAAAACGATTTTTCTTTAATCTGTCCCTGATTTTCTCTGCAGTAATATACACAAGCTTACCTTTTCCCCCCTGTTTCCTTCCAACTTCCACTATCTCCCTTGCTCGCCCTCTCCTCTTTTCTCCATCTACTGCCACGTTCTGAAAGGTTTCTTTGACTTTTGTGAAGTGATGTCCCTAAAATCTCATCAGAACTCTGGGTGTCATGATTATCTGATATCATCAAGCAGACGTGTTTTGCCAGCTATTTGCTCTGCAGAGAGAATTGCACACTTATGGTCTTGCTCTGTTGGGCAGAGCAGTGAAGACCAGCTGAGCACGTGGATGTCATTCATTTACATACACATTTTACAAACCTTTATTGAAGATGACCATGGAATTCGAAAGCACTGGGCTAAGGACTATAAGGAGAAACAAATTACCTTCTGCACGAACATGTCCTGTCTGGAGCTTCCAAAGAGGAGGAGCAGGTGAGAATTTTGAAAGGAAAACTTTTCCCTTCTAGCGACACATATCTTAGGAGATACCAAGATTAAATGTATTTTATCACAACTGATTCGACCCAGCTGACGTGGACCCCAAACCAACCCCCTATTGGACCCAACTAAAGATTCTTTCCTGAACAATGAACAGATGGATCTGTTTGAACCCACCAGATACAGACCTGTAGATTGGTTTCCGAGGTGCTGTTTTTCAACCTTTAATCACCGTGAACCCCTCTTTCCAGGTGACACAACCTGACTTTCCTCCCTCAGCTATTCAGCGAATTTCTTCACTCGCGTGTGTTTCCTTGCCAGGCAAGTCAATAAACTTGGCTTTGTGGATTTTATTTATTTCATAACTCTGGTCGTCCTCATTTTATTTGTTTTCAGAATATAGGCTGTAGGGGAGCCAACTAATGTTTAACATCTGGCAGCAGCACAGAAGAAATTCTGAACATTAAAAACGACTGAAAGAAAAACAACCTAGCCCAACCAAAAAACAAGCCAATAACAGCCACAGTAACATCATAACAGCAAATCTCACTCGGGAGACAAGGCCCTGCTAGGAAATGAGACCCACGATAACTTCCCAGCTCAGGTCATTTCTGACCAGGAGCTGGTTTCAACTGGATGAAGCCAATTTCAACAGCGGTCTGATCCAGATCTGAATATTGTTTTCCATGTTGGTGTGGCTTCTTGTTCTGTTTAACATTCCAAGTTTAGCAGGCTGGTAAGGAACAAAGGCCGTAATTTTAACAAAAATTACCTGCCTTTTACTTTTCTAATTATTTACCGGGTACTGCTGCAGCCTTTGGTTCGTTTAGGTAGGAATTATGCACCTTTGGCTCTTATATTGTGATATCTGGATTTTCTCAGAAGAATCCTTTCAGAACTTGAGTTCGTTTTGCTTTGTGATCTTATTAAAGAAAGTCAGGAGATTTTTAGTTCTGATCAGGGTTTCTGCAGCACATGTCTCAAACTCTGGGAATTATTGGAGGCCTGTACATCATTCCTCACTGAAGGAAACATCCGGCACTTTTCCCATACGTGTACTTTCCTGCTACATGAAGATGCTATTATGATTTGTTTTCCCCCTTATGGCAGATTACTAATATACCACATATTTGTGAAGGGAATTTATTGAAAATATAGCAGAATCTTTTTAATGTATTCCTTGTAGCTTTAAAGTAATACAGCCCAATCACGTTTCCGCCTCTGGCTGTTCCTATATTTTAGGGATTTTGGTCTGCAATATAAAGTACACAATGCTTTGCTTGTCTTAAGTCAGATGCGACTCAGTGTCTTTAATGTGACCTTCCCTGTTCCCCGCTTGTTGTCATCTTTAAGTAAATGTTTATTCAGTGCCTACCACCCAGGGCTTTACGTTGGGCATATACAAAATGGTGTTTGAATGTATTCCCTCTGCCTTCTGAGAGCTCAAGTTAAGCCATCTTCCTCCCTCCCTCCCTTAAACGTTTGTTAGTGGGCAGAAGAGTGAACATAAGAGGAATCCTTTGATAATTCAAGAGACAAGCCAGAGCAAAGGACCCACTCAGGAGTGAATGTTTAATGGCATGTTTCCAGAATATAGACAGGAGGATAGTGCAAATCAGTAGAGGCAGTATATCAAAGGAAGGAGGAAAAATAATGGTTATTTCTCTTCCTTTTGTAGAAATCTTCTTATGAAACGTGGTTTCTTGAAGCTATCAGCTATCAATTGCTGCATAACAAATGACCCCCAAATTCAATGGCTTTATTAAAACAGCAATGATTTATTATTTCCCGTGATTGTTAGGGTTGAAAATCTAGGCAGTTCTGTCGCTTGTCCGGCAATAAGAGTTGTAAGAGTTTGGGGCTGGAGGGTCTATAATGGCCTCACTCGCTCTCAGGAATTGATGCTGGCCATCGGCTGGGGTGTGTCTGTTCTCCTTGATGTGACCTCTTATCTTCCACTACACTAGAGTGGGCTTTTTCACAGCAGAGTGGTCTCACGGTCTTGAAGTCTGGGCTCTGGAACTTGTACAGTGCTACTTTTGCCACATTCTATTGGTTCCAAGCAGGACCTAAGGACATTCAGATTCAAGAGGTGGAGAAATAGGTTCCACTTTTTAATGGGAATACCAAAGGGACATAGACCCGGGCAGGTGTGATTCATTGGGGACCATTACTCTAACAATCTATCACAGCAGAAGCGGGGTCAGAAGACTGGGAATGAGCAAGGAGGGGGATAATTTAAGAACCGAACCTTCAGGCTTCCCCCAGAACCTTTGTCCTTGTGTTTAATTACGGAATCCTATGTGTCAGAAAATAATAGGTTGTCCCCAATTATTTGTTTCTGGGGATACAGACGCAAAGGGATGTCTTAGTGAAGGAAAAATGAGGGATGCCTACACTCTTATTAAAGTTTGGCATTTAGGGAATACTATATAAGACGGAAAAGCAGAAAATATTTAATTGCCAAAGAGATGAGGGGAAACAGAAGATTTTATCAGGCCAATATATACACATTCCAGATTATGTATGCACATTGGAACACACATATGAGATGCTTTCTGCTGTAAGATGATTTTAATTTTATGGTTGTAGCTTTTAAAGAGCATTTTCCTTTCTGTGTAGCCCTGCACTTCAGGGAGTCTGTCACTGAGTGATGAGCACATGGCTTTAACTGCAAGCCATGTGGGTCCTTTTGTTTAAGTGTCTTAGAGTCATAACCTCAAGTTTCCTCCACATAATCAAAAAAACATTTTATTCTTTATTAAAGGAATGGATTCTAAAAAACCTGTTATAACTGATTTTTTTTTTAAAGTTGAGTTTTAGTAATGATTCTCGTGGGGTTTCTGGGTGGCTCGGTCATTTGGGTGACAGACTTCGGCTCAGGTCATGATCTCACTGCTCCTGGTTTGGGCCCCGCATTGGGCTCTCTGCAGATAGAGCTAGGAGCCTGGAGCCTGCTTCGGATCCTGTCTGTCTCTCCACCCCTCCCACACTCAAGCTCTCTCTCTTCCAGAAAAAAAAAAAAAAAAAAGAAATGATTCTCATAGCACAAATTTGTACCTTTCTCATCAATCCTTAACTTTCCCTATATTTAGATTCTGAATCTAACACCAATACTCTTTCCTAGGAGATCTTCTCTCAGCAGGTACTATTGGCTTTCCATTGGAATGTGTAAAATACTGAAAAGGTTGTTGGACTGAATTAAAGAGGTGGCTTTAGTTTGCCTTTCCAGCATATCATGATTCTGTTTTATCTGTGTGCAGACGGGAAACAATGCAAAATAAAGGTAAGGTGCCACAGAGATCATACTTATGTTTTTATTCACTGCTAATTTACCTGTGAGTTTTACCTTGGCAGGACTAGTAAAACACAGGTAGTTTATGTTCTCTCTTTCCATTGTTACCAAAAACCACTTCCTTATACACTGCCCTAACTTCGGGCTTCTATAGACACTTTCCTGGTAGACCTATAACTGGTAACAGTTTGAAAACTAGTCTTCAAAGGTTTGGAATAGCAACTTAACCCACCTTTATTATATAAGCGCCATCTTTCTTTTTGGAGCCAGGACAACTCAAGTAAACAAGAAAATAAACAAGAAAATAAAAATCACTCAGAGATAACCACTCTTTATTTTTTAAAAATGTTTATTCATTTTTGAGAGAGAGACAGAGACCGAGTGCTAGCGGAGGAGGAGCAGAGAGAGGGAGACACAGAATCCGAAGCAGGCTCTAGGCTCCAAGCTGTGAACACAGAGCCCCATGCGGGGCTCGAACTCACAAACTGTGAGATCATGACCTGAGCTGAAGTCGGACGCCCGACCTACTGAGCCACCCAGGCACCCCCAGAGATGACATTCTTAATTATGTCCCAACCTGAATCATCTTTTTGAGAAGTACTCCAGTGAGCCTATCTAAGCCTCTTCCGCTGACAGTCCCTTCAAATTACACAAACAACTGTCTCTTCACCGATCAACCAAAGGCAGCAAGCAGCGCGAATCCGTCATGAGTTGCCCTGTGGCGGTTCTGCATCAGTAGGGACTTGCCTTTAGCACTCCGGGTGGGTGTTGAAGATACTTCTTAGTCCCTAGCTCTCTCAAGGGAGTTTTGGGGGTAATTAGACTCAGCTGACTTTCAATATGAACAAGATCAAAACCAAAAATTTTCTCAATCTTGAGTTACTGTAGTTGGATGAAAGTGAAGCCGTTACCAAGTGCAGCATCGGGTCTTGCGGCCCAAGGCCACCAGCAGAATGTCACAGTCTCTGAAGCTTAACGATTTCAGGCTTTATGTCGCCGCTTCCATTTTCACAGCCCGACGCAATTTCCACAGTCCACCGTGGAGGTGAGGATGGCAACGCCACACATTTCTGCAACGGATGCAACATCCTGTCATTGGCCAATTATTTGCACAAACACTCAAAGTGTGCCTGCAACTCTGGGGGAGGCAGAGACCTCCTGAAGTGTCTCCGCTCTGCAGACGCTCAGGTGCTCGGGTCCCCTGCTCCAGACCAGCAGCCGTTTCAGCTGGCCACCGGGAGGATGTTGCAGGGCCAACCACGCACAGTGGAGGCCAGTGGCATGTGCCTATTCGGCAGAAAAAAACGACAGCTCTATAGAGCGAGCGCGCAGATGACACCCCCTGGTGTTGGTGAGGATGGAGTAACAGGCACACGCTTAAACCGCTGCCGGGGCCTCTGCGAGAGCAAGTCCCTGGGACACTCCGGAAACACAGTGACAGTGTGGTTATGTGTCACTACTTTAAGTGGCTGTGGAGAGTGTCATTGCATGGATGCACCATAATTTATTTAACTGTTTCCAATTGTTCGCTATTATAAACAGTGTGTGATCAACGTCCGTATGCGTATTTCTCTGTGAAGTTGACCCATTAGGTCCTTGGCAAAAATCCTCACGAATGGAAATCTACAGTGCTGGTACATGGTGTCAGGTGACCGTCTAGAAAGTTGCATATAAGATTATAAGTCGATGGCCTATGTTTTCTTGCAGTTTTTAACTAGAATGTGCATTTTTACATTCAGATATTTGCTCCACCTGAAACTTATTTTGGTGGTAAGATGCCATTTTTTTCCAAAAGACTAAGTCAGTTTTCCCTACTCACTTTCACCCTCTACCAAGTTCTCATTCATACTTGAGTCTGTTTCTGCATTTTGTGCTACTGAGCTTTGTGCTAATTATTGTTTAATGCTTCGATTTTTGTACTTGTGTGATATGTTTTAATATCTAGTAGGACAATTATTTGCTCATTATTCTGCCTGGCTATTAGTTCATGCTTATTCTTTCAGAAGAACTTTGATACTAATTTTTTTTTTCCATATTAAAGGGAAAAAACTCTGAAAT